GGTGCGCCTAAAGGAGTGGAGAGTAGGTAATAATCTGATGGGTTGGGGCAGGGAGTTCCAGAGGATGGGTGACACCCTGGAGAAGTCCTGGAGGCGGGCATGGGAGGAGGAGACCAGGGAACTAGAGAGAAGGAGGTCTTGTGAGGAGCGGAGTGTGCGTGCTGGGCGGTACTTGGATATTAGGTCAGTGATGTAGTTCGGGGCAGTATGGTAGACAGCTTTGTACGTCAGCGTTAGGATTTTGAATTTGATCCGTTGCGCAATCGGAAGCCACTAGAGGGATTGGCAGAGGGGGGTGGCGGAGATGGAGCAGTTGGAAAGGTGAATGAGTCTGGCAGCCGTATTTAAGATCGACTGAAGCGGGGATAGCCAGCGGCGAGGCAGGCCAGTGAGGAGGGAGTTGCAGTAGTCGAGTCGTGATATGATGAGGGAGTGGATGAGCTGTTTAGTGGTTTCTGGGGTTAGGAACCTGTGGATTTTGGCGATGTTGCGGAGGTGGAGTCTGCACTAGTTTGTTAAAGATTGGACTTGGGGCTGGAAGGATAGGTTGGAGTCCAGAATGACACCAAGTACTCTGACTCTGGCCTGCGGGGCGGGTTTGATGGTGGCGTTGTTGGATGTGACGGAGAAGTCAATGGGGGGGTGGTGTCCGGGCTGGGGGGAAGACAAGAAACTCTGTCTTGGAGAGGTTCAGTTTAAGGAAGTGGAGCAACATACAGTCTGATATGTCGCTCAGTAGGTGTGTGATTCAGGCGGAGACCGAGGGGGTGAGGTGGGGGGTTGAGAGATAGATTTGTGTGTCGTCGGCATAGAGGTGGTAGTTGAAGCTGTGAGAGTGTATGAGCTGGCCAAGGGAGGAGGTGTAGATGGAGAAGAGAAGGGGCCCGAAGACGGAGCCTTGAGGGACCCCAACAGAGAGGGGGAGTGAGGGGGTAGCATTATAGGTAACGCTGAAAGAGCGTTGTGACAGGTAGGATGAGAGCCAGGAGAGAGCAGAACCTCTCTGGTCATTAAAGTAAATTACCTTTGAAGTGCTTGATGCGTCTAGTGATAATGTTGGACATGGACACATAGTCTAACATGGAGGAACATTTAGAGGCAGAAACAAAAATCGCCAGATGTCCCTACAGGCAGCTTTTTTAACACTCAGTGTGCATTAGGTTTAATACACTTGAGTGGGTAATTTTTTTTCATAAAAAAAAACAATAAATAACCTGCGCTTATGTGACAAATTATAAACTAAATTAATGCTGCTGCTCACAAGGTAAAAGACCCATCACACATAAGTATAATAAATTATACAGTGCACAAATCAGACATTAAACGATTAATAATAATAAAGTGATAAAAGGTCCACTGTCCCAAATAAACGGTGATTAGGTGCTCCTATAAAAATCGGTGCCAAAACGAAATGTGTTCTTTAAATGATGTCCCCACACCATGCTCCGTGATCACCTTCCAGTACAATCCACACTCACCAAATTAGATGGACTCATAACAAGGGGGACACTCAAATGTTTGCTACTTTTAAACAATCTAATTATCTCTAGCAGTATTTCCCACATTTCAATGGTAACACAGTGCGTTCACATACCTAGAAACAAAAATGAAAAGAATGGTATAAGTTTTTACCTTCTGATATAATTACAGAAATCTTACATCTTTTCATACCAATTAACCATGGATCACATAACAATGACCATTTTCACATTTTCCTTGAAGGTCTTTGAAGATGATGTTCTCGATAGTGGCTTTGAACATGTATCATCTGGGTCATCTGATGTGTTCTTGGACCTTGACTTTGAAGATGAGGAAGTTCCTTGTCCACCTATTCTTCCCCCTGCCAAAGCAGCCATTGATCTGGAATGGGACCCGACAGGGGATGTTGGTAGCTCAGGGTCTCATGATGACATCTCAAGATGTAGTAAGTGATCAATCACTTGTCTGGCATTTTATCTTCTTTAAATACATTGTTGATACATTTGAGATAGGGTTAATCCACCCCAGACTGATCTTTCCTTTTTAGTGGACACTGCTGGGTTGAATCACCTTTTGTGCATTCCTGCAATCAGATCTCCATACCAGAATTAAATGTTTTGACTCACCACACCACCCATTGTCCGTTTTCTGCAGACTTCTCTATAGTGTAAAATGAAAATCTAATATCGAGCGTAAGAATCTTTGAAATAGCCAATGGCAGACTGAGTTGGTAACATTTTTTTTTTTTTTTTATCGTTACACTCAACAGTCCCACGAAAATTATCACGGAGGCATATATGCTCTGAGAGTAGCATCAGTACTGACTCTGGGGTCACTAATTCCAAACATAGGAGCCAAGAAGACCTGTTGCCAGTGGAAGAAGATTTACCTGCCTTTATTGTTCCTAGAGGTACTGTTATCTCAGAGGGATTCCCAGGACCTAAGATTGACATCCAAGTTCAAACAGTAGATAGCAGGGTAAATACAGATAATTGTTCTCTATATGCCCTTTCCTTATCTTAGTTGACAACTTTTTATCTGTACCTCAGTTTCTGTTGTTTTTTCTGCATCCTTATCACTGTGCTTATTACCGATCTTGCTCTTTGCACTGGCTGTAAATTTGGCCTAGAACTGCCAAACTTCTCTTTGAATGATCCGCTGAATGACCATATTCTGAGTGACCAAAATAAGCAGTAGAGGCACTTAGGAAATGCAATAAAAACATTAAAAATGTACATTACTGCCAGATATAATACAAAAAAAACTGACATGGCATCATTCAGTTCAAAATCATTTTTGACTATAATCAGGTGAAAACTCAGAGGAGAAGGATGGAAACATTTTCTTGAATGAAACAAATTAATTTTGAGTTACATTTTCTTTTAATTTTCTTCTGGAAATTACACTCATTCCAAATTTGATTGTTAAAAGCAAAACAAAGTTTTGAAGTACTTTTTGAACATTTATCAAGTCTTCGAATATACTGAGAATGTCCGTAGGAATGTTTGTACAAATATTCATATGAACATTTGTTCACAATACTACCAGTGTATGGCTAGCCTAACCTTTTGCAAAGCAATCAAGTGACTGCAAAGTTATGGCAAGCATTCCCTTTTTGTGCAGCTGTGGCTGTTGGTGCGACTGGTGGGCGTGAGTTCCTTCAGGGCCAACAATGCCTAAAAGCTAAGGATGCTGATGGGATGACGTCACTGCTCTACTGTAGAGATTCAGCAGTGTTATCGGCCCTGCGCAGACAGATACACTCGCATATGACTGCTTGGGAAATACTTCGAACAGACATGTGCGGTTTCAATGCAAAGAAGCGTTGGCACTTACATGAGTACGGCCATGTACAGTCATTGAATTTTATGGAAGGCTGTACACAGCATGTGTGGCTTCCCTTAGGCCCCTTGCACACAGGCATCATGATTTACTGATTACTCAGAAACTAGTGACACCCGTGTGCAAGGGGCCAAAAACTGTGTGTAAAGACCTGAGTAATGTTGAGTATATAGGTGAGTACAGGTGTATATCTTCTAGATTGTAAGCTCCAAGGAGCAAGGCCCTCCTATCCCTCTTGTATTGAGCTGTATTGTTGCTGTATTGTCTCCCATTATATTGTAAAGCGCTGAGCAAACTGTTGGCGCTATATAAATCCTGTATAATAATAATAATAATAATAGATGAGTATAGCCAAGTACCAACCTACCCTGTAAAATAATTGCTAAGAGAATTCATGGAAAAAGTCGCTTACGAGTGACGGTCCATGCAATCACCAAGGGTCGGATACGACTGAATGGATGGATGGATAGACAGACAGACAGACAGACAGACAGACAGACACAATTCTTCTTCTCCTGTGAGCTAAAAAGACAGAAAAAACAATCATTTTTAGTTTTACATATTAAGATCACATGTAGTTTACATGTTGAAAACATCAAGTTTTTTACTTTTTTATGCCCTAAGGCATAAGGTACATCTCAATGTGTATCCTTTGTGTTCTACAGACTATTCATGCACTTGTCATTGTGAAACTTTGTCCCTACACTTTATGCTTGTTTATTTGTACTCTATGTCTACAGTCTCCTAAATATATATATATATAGTATGATATCTCAACCTTTGTAGGTTCTGTGCAATGATGCGCCACCTTTGGAACCAGGACGGTTAGAAGTTTCCTCCTATTGTGGTAAGAGTCATGAAAACCTGTCATATGAGCATTGAACAAATTAGAAAATGCACACCATATTCCGATACCGATTACCGATACTGTGCGGACGCCAATTGCACCACAAAGAAAAGCATACGAATTGAATGGGAATGCAGCCCCAGTGTCTCTGATCACTGCCCCAATGTAGGGACAATAAACAATTCAGCCAGCACCTGTCACCTGTCCCAGTGCAGACAAAAACACCACCATACCCCATACCAACGTCCTGATCACCGCCATACCCCATACCAACGTCCTGATCACCACCATACTCCATAACAGTGTTCTGATCACCGCCATACCCCATACCAGCATCCTGATCATTGCCATTCCCATACCAGTGTCCTGATCACCACCATACCCCATACCAGTGTCCTGATCACCACCATACCCCATAGCAGTGTCCTGATCACCGTCATACCTCATGCTAACATCCTGATCACCGCTATAACTCATACTAATGTCCTGATCACCGCCATACCTCATGCTCATGTCCTGATCACCCCCATACCCTATTCCAGCATCCAGATCACGGCCATACCCCATTCCAGCATCCTGATCGCCACCATACCCCACACCAGCGTCCTAATCACTGCCATATACCATACCAGCATCCTGATCACTGCCATACCCCATTCCAACGTCCTAATCACTGCCATACACCATACCAGCATCCTGGTCACCGCCATACCCCATACCAGTGTCCTGATCACCGCCATACCCCATACCAGCATTTGATTACCGTCATACACCATACCAGCGTCCTGATCACCACCATACTTCATGCTAACATCCTGATCACCGCCATACCCCATTCCAGCATCCTCATCACCGCCATATCTCATGCTAAAGTCCTGATCACCACCATACCCCATACCAGCATTCTGATCACCGCCATACACCATACCAGTATCCTGATCACCGCCATACCCTATACCAGCTTCCTGATCACCACCATACTTCATGCTAACATCCTGATCACCGCCATACCCCATGCCAGCATCCTCATCACCGCCATACTTCATGCTAACATCCTGATCACCGCCATACACCATACCCCATTCCAGCGTCCTGATCACCGCCATACTTCATGCTAAAGTCCTGATCACCACCATACCCCATTCCAGCGTCCTCATCACCACCATACCTTGTGCTAACATCCTGATCACTGCCATACCCCATTCCAGCGTCCTGATCACTACCATACATCATACCAGCGTTCAGCATTTTAGGGTCTCAACTGATCAATTTTCAGATATATAGCCCATAGTTTGTAGACTCTGTAGTTTTCAAACAGACTAAATAATATACACTGTTTTGGGTTATGGTTACCCCAAAATTGTAGAATACATTTTGACCTAAATTTATGAAGAAAAATAATTTATTTGCTAAATTTTATGACAAAAACTAAGCAAAAAAAAAAGATTTTTTTTTCAAAATTTTCGGTCTTTTTCCATTTATATATTAAAAAAATTAAAAACCCAGAGGTGATCAAATATTATATGGGTACAGTGTTAGAGAGAAAACAGGTGGCACACACACCTAGTGCATTATCCATGGTTTATTGTAGGAGTGAAAGAATAATAAAAACATACAGACGAAGCATGTATCTAAAAAGCATAGAAAAATGACAATGGCCACAACGGCAGGCAAGGTGTTCTCACTGTCAGTGCGGTCAAATGGTTGACGCGTTTCGGGGACGAATCCCTTTCCTCAGAGCTGATGCAGATGTGTGATGAATGGAAAGTAGGAGCCTTGCCTTGATGCCTCAACAGCAAGGCTCCTACTTTTCATTCATCACACATCAGCCATTTGACCGCACTGACAGTGAGAACACCTTGCCTGCCGTTGTGGCCATTGTCATTTTTCTATGCTTTTTAGATACATGCTTTGTCTGTATGTTTTTATTATTCTTTCAATCCTACAATAAACCTTGGATAATGCACTAGGTGTGTGCGCCACCTGTTTTCTCTCTATCCAGTGGCTGATTTCCCCGTCTGAGGAGGGCTGCACCCCTGAAGCATTTCCTTTGGTTGTCGCTGTCCAGGTACCCTTGGCTTCCCTTTTGGCTGTGCATATCCTGAGGTGCTGGAGAGTACATACGATACAGGTACAGTGTTGCATGACTGCGTAATTGTCATTGAAAGCGTGATAGTGCTGACAGCTGAAAATTGGACTGGACTGGAAGGGGGTGAAAGTGTCCGGACTTGAAGTGCTTAAAGGAGAAGTGTGGGAAATAAAAAAAAAAAATAAACATACATACTCACCCATATGGCTGCAGCATCGGTCCAATGCTGCAGCTGTCCCCTAACGGCTGTAAGACTGAGAACTGAATGGTCACATGACCATTGGTTCCCTCAGTTCTTGGTCTTCACCAAGCAGACAGCGGTGATTGTCAGTCATGGCACTCTGCTCTGCCCTTCCAGTGCTCACTGGAACGCCAGGCTGCGGCGGGGGTGGGAACAGCATGCTGTGTTTGGTACTGTATCCCTAAATACCTGGATTTTTTTCTACATACTTACCTGTAAAATCCAGTTCTTGGAGTACATCACGGGACACAGGCTATTCATGACTATGTGGGTTATAGGCCACCTATAGGTGAATGGACACTAGCCGACCAATCAGAGAGGAGGTTCTCCCCTATATTATCCCTCCTACACAAGAAGTACTTCAGTTTTTTCACCAGTCTCTGTAAGGTGGATGGTCACTGTTGCTGTACTCCTGAAGCATACCTGAAGGTCCAGAATGGTTCCATTAGAGAATCAGGGACTTTAATCGAATCCATTTGGAAAGCTGTGAGCCAAAATGGATGGTACCCGAGGGGATATCCCTATATAATATATATACGTCCTCGGTTTATTTAACGTAATATTCGGTTTAAAAGAAAATCTATTAAAAAATAATGCCTGTTTACTAATTTTTTTCGCTGGTAAGTTTCCCCAGGATGCATTGCACCTGGGAGGTTTATATAGCGCCAGCCCTGTGCCTTTACAGTGCACTTTATAAAGAATTTTGAACAGATAAGCTGTGACGGGGGTGACTTTTGGGGGTGGGGGGACCCCTGTTGTTCCTCTTATGTGTAGCCCACCCTGTGCCTGTTAGGGGTACACGGTGGTCTGTCCTGATATGGTGTAGACATGTATAGGTGGGGTGGGAGGTTGTCCATTGTTCACTGCCAAGTGGTTGTTCCATTGTTCATTGTTCTCTGCCATGCCCCTGCATCCCATTGTTCTAGCAAACTATTATGGGATGTAATGTTTGTGTATTGGTGTGGGGGTTGGTCATTGTTCACTGCCATGTGCTGCATCCCATTGTTCTGTGTCTTGGTTTGGTGTGGGGTGTTTCCAGCAGCCCTTCCCCCTGATGGGAGGGCCTGCTGATGTGTTTTTCCTGTTCCTGGTATATATGTTGGTATATATCTTGTGTTTGTGTTAAAATAAAGCAGTTGACTTGCTTTCTTAAGAGAGTCTGATGCTGTCTATTTCCTGCATGATCAGCGGTGGGGTCTGTGGATGGTGTTTGGACCGGGAAGCGAGAGTATAACGGAAATACCCTAGCACAGTCCAGGTCCGGTTCATTATATAAGCCTTTTTTTTTTTTTGACCTCCGGAACAGATTAGTTGGTTTTCAATGCATTTACAAATTTTTTTCACAATACAAAGCAAGTTTTCCCAGGATGCAATGCACCTGGGAGGTGTATAGCGCCGGCCCCATGCTGGGGTCTGTGGGTAGCACGTGGCGTCGAGTGTGGAGGTGTTGGAGCGGTTTTTGCAACGAGGTTTGCAGCCATTCTGGACATTTTTCATCATGTCCCTGTACAGTATTTTTGCCTTTAAAGTGCACTTTATAAAGAGTTTTGAACAGGTAAAAGACTTTTTTTTTTACTTTTTTCTGACCTCCGGAATGGATTAATTGGTTTTCAATGCATTCCTATGGGAAACTGCGTTTCGGTTTACAAACATTTCGCAATATGAAACGTCCCAGGAGAACGCAATAAATTTGTAAACCGAGGTACGCCTGTACTAAACTTTAGCTTTAACCTCTTCCTGACCGCAGATAGCCGAATGACGGCTTCACTGCGGCCGGCCAGTTCTGGCTAGACTTCATATGATGTCCTCCCAGAACACACTCTCCTGCATGCCCCTGGGAGCGTGCACCCGGTGATCTCCGTGATCGCTGTGTCCAATGACACACTGATCACCAGGAAATGCAATTGCCGTTTATCGGCTGCACTTTCCTCACACTGTCACAGCATGAGGAAAGTACAGCCAAGAACCGGAAGTTGTCAGAGGAGAGATCGGCATTGATCATCAGGACACTGATGATCAGTGCCCTGATGATCGGTGCCAAGCAGTGCCACCGTCCAGTGCCGCCCAAAAGTCCCCAGCAGTGCCACCCACATGTGCCCACTTTGTGTGAAAAAAAAATGATAAAAATGTCATATGGGTACAATGTTGCATGACCGCTCAATTGTCATTCAAAGTGTGACAGCGCGGAAAGCTGAAAATTGGCCTGGGCAGGAAGGGGGTATAAGTGTCCGGTAGGCAAGTGGTTAAAGTGTCTATTTTTCTTGCATTTATTACATTGGTCCAGTGTCTCCTTTTAGTATTGTTATTTTGCCATATCTGTTATTGCATTAAGAGGGGCACATATTATTGGTCTGGATGGAAGATGGAGAACGTGCTGAGACTGCAGCGTCAGCCAAACATTTACAGTAAGCCGGAATTGTGGATAAGAATTCAGTGGTGGCATGTATGATGATTTAGCAGATTCGTCTTCCTGCAGGAGTCTTGGCTGAGTCTGTTTCCTCTCCTACAGCAGAATCTGGGAAATTATTTTTATGTGGATCAATGACATCAATTACCCGGCACTATATCTGCTGTGTCCTTGTCCTTTTGTGCCAAAGGGACACCATTACTTAGAGCTGAACTTTAAGTAATTAAAAAAAACTGTTAACAGAAGAAGGCTTTGAATGTCTCTTCTGCTAGAAAGAAAACCCCTTCTCTCCCCCTTCTAGCAATTTTTAAGCTTGGAAGGCCTGCTGTACACGGGAGTAAAAAATGCTGTTTCTTATGGGTCTAAAATGAGATGCATTGTTGTCTATGGGACATTGTGCACAGCTGAGTAAAGATCAGTAATACAGTGTTGAGTACAGAACAGTCAAAGAAAAATAGATTTTTTTCTTCATTTGACTGCAGTAATTTACTTGTGTGCAGGGGCGGACTGACCATTGGAGCACTCGGGCACTGCCCGAGGGCCCGGGGTCAGTAGGGGGCCCCATGAAATGCCCCTGGTACCTTTTTTATAGGCTTTTTGAGTGTGGGCAAGGACACAGGGGCCCCATGATGCCCTATTGCCCGGGGGCCCCATGAGTTGTCAGTCCGCCCCTGCTTGTGTGCTTACTCGTTTAGCCCCCTTGCACTCGAGTGTCATAATTTACTGATGTTTACTCGGGAACTTGTCATTCCCGTGTGCAAGGGGCTACAATACTGGCAATGAAGAAGAATTGTACTTGGCTATCTATCTATCCATCTATCCAGTCGTATCCGACCCTTGGTGATTGCATGGACCGTCACTCGTAAGCGACTTTTTCCATGAATTCTCTTAGCAATTATTTTACAGGGTAGGTTGGTACTTGGCTATACTCATCTATTATTATTATTATTATTATTATTATACAGGATTTATATAGCACCAACAGTTTGCTCAGCACTTTACAATATAATGGAGACAATACAGCAACAATACAGTTCAATACAAGAGGGATAGGAGGGCCCTGCTCCTTGGAGCTTACAATCTAGAAGATACACACCTGTACTCACCTATACTCAACATTACTCAGGTCTTTACACACAGTTTTTGGCCCCTTGCACACGGGCGTCACAAGTTTCTGAGTAATCAGTAAATCATGATGCCTGTGTGCAAGGGGCCTAAGGGAAGCCACACATGCTGTGTACAGCCTTCCATAAAATTCAATGACTGTACGTGGCCGTACTCATGTAAGTGCCAACGCTTCTTTGCATTTAACCGCAGATGTCTGTTCGAGGTATTTCCCAAAAGTAAAACTTCCATGTTCAGAAAAAAAAACTTTGGATGTGGGGATAAACTTTTACAAGATTATGACCATGTACAGCCATTCTCTTGTATGGCAGAAGAAAATCTTCATTTAAAAAAAAAAAAAAAAAACCAGACGCATGTGTGGGAAAATGCTG